TKWAAMYKGRAAAAAAAGAGTTTTGAATTGCACTTTCAACAACATGAGTTGTATTGTCTTGGGTTTTGAAACTGTAATTTTTATGTATTTCATAGATGTTGTTTTGTTTACAAGATGTCAAGTTTGTTGTAAACTTCAGGATTCCAGTAATGTGTAATTTTGTCTAATGTCTGGCTCTGTCAAATTCCAAATTGAAATATCTCAGAAAATGCCATCTAAAAACTATGAAAAGTTCTAGTTGATAAATGGAATACATAATTATATGGTCTGAAGTTTGACACAAAGATGGGAATTAATTGCCCTAATCATCATAAATCAACTGAAATCATAAAATGATCACCATAGCAACAGCTCAAAGGCAAAATATAACTAGACCACATGTATTATTCGTCACTCAGAATTCAAGACTTTTCAATTCAGAATTTTCCTCTTTTGGCATATATTGTACTGAAGGAAACTGTCAAAAATACATTTTACACAATATTATTTATAAGTGTAGAAGTTGGATATTAGACATGTAACCCTTCCCAAGGTTGTSCTTGGATAAATACAATCATACAATGTAGGTACTGTCCACTTTAAAAAAGAGCAAACTGGGTGTTTTTTAGTTCTGACAAACATTCAAATACTCAGTAAATCTCATTATTTTTTTCTGTTGTCCGTTTAATTACCTCATAAGATTATTGCAGATTGGGTAGATTGTGAAACAACAGAATATTATATATTATATATGCCATTATAAAATATTTGATATAACACATACACTCTTGATGGCTGACGACCATGTTTATATCAGAGGACAGAGACACAGCTTACTGGCCAAATTTGTGTTTTGCTTGAAAATGCAGAAAAAATTTATAAAACAGCCACTTGTGTCTCTGTCCTCTGATATAAAAAGGGTGGGAGTTGCAAAACAATCAAGAAACAAGAGAAACTAAGCTTGCTTCTCTAGTGCTTTTCAATTCCCACCGTGTTTATATCAGAGGACAGAGACAACCATGCCATTTTATGTTTCTTAACTATCGAGTAAAAATAAACAAATGGAATTATAACAATTTATTTTTATCTTACTTTGAGTTTTCCTTGTTATCACATAGATGTACGTGCAATAAAATTCACAGTGAATAATGCTAAAGAGATATTTTCCATCAGAAACCACAAAAGATCATAATACAACTTGCTGATAATCCAAATAATTCAATAAAAAATTTCACTCAATCCCTTCTCTCTTGTAATTTAACCATTTCTTTTCTGTTCAATCCCCAGGAGGCATTTAAATTGATATGTTATAMAACTGAGAATAAAATTAATAAACTTCATGAGAAAATCTAAGAGAAAGAGTGTTTATTTTGCAGTAGTCTGACATTGTACTTGTAAAGCTTCGAAATGCATGTACAATGTTATACTGCTAATAAAAGAAATTTTGTGCTTTAAGCAGTACAGAGACGTTTTCARATTTTCAGAGAGTRGACTAATAACTTTGTTACTTRTTGGTATGATRRTTGATAATTTCGTATTATTACAAGTAAAGTATAATCCGAGTAGGATTATGTAAAAACATTCAATATATTGCAAAGTTGAAGAGAATGACTTCACATGCAGACTTCAAGAGATAAACAATCGAATCCTTTAAAAAAATACATCTAAAATATTATTTCAACCATATTAATTCAAAGAAAAACGTCAAAATACATTGGTGAATATGTAAAATGGTTAAATACCAATGAAACGTAGAATAAAATAGAATTTCTTGATGGAAATACAACAGTGTTTATCATGTCATCATCGTCAAGTTTAGCGAAATGTCCGAGACTGATGTAAGCGAAGTTGGGACTTGCTAGTCTCCCAAATGACATGAGTCACTACAAAACCCACAGGAGGAATTCAAAGGTCAACACAAATCTCAAACGTGTTCATTAATTAAGAATTTTGTTGTGATTCTAWGAGAATCTTTCAAGGAATGAATACGGGAGGCTTACCAGCTGCGAAATGTAGAGGTGAAGATTTTCTCCCGGCCGTGTCCCTGGCGTTAACATTTGCATTGGCACCAACAAGGCGGCGAACTTTATTGACGTCTCCGTTCCTACAAGCTTCAAACAATTCACGGCCGCTGTCGAAGCAGTCACTTTCAAGCGAGAAAGATGAATGCAGACCTTGTTTTTTGGTCGCCATCTTGCCTTGACAGGCGCATCGAGYTGAGGTGCTTGGCTGCTGTGACGTAATCATCAATAGGTAGGGGGAATGGGGCGAGCCGTCTTAATATTTTCTTCTTTTTTTTATTTTCTTTTTTGTTCCTTTCATGAAAATGTTCACTGATTTCCAATGACAGTACTTCAGTGCAATCTGTAGCAGTGGCTTAGTGAATCTAAGTAAGGTAAAAGGTTTTCCAGAGTTTGTTTGTTTTTGTTGTTTTTTTAAGTACCAAAGATTCAGGCGTGCTAGTCTACGGCGGGCGTGTCAGCGAAAAAAATCCCTTTATAAGGCTCTACTAGCTGAAATTTTGTTAGTTTTAATTTTATTATTCCAATAATCAGTTGTAACCATACCTGCCTTTCTCCTATTGGTCTACATTTTTAACTCCGACGAAGGATTCTAATGAATGAAACGTCGGTAGCTGTTTCCTGCTTTTTTACGCGATCCAGTAGAATTTTTCTTTTGCACAACTGGTCTCCAAGCAAATACCCTTTCGGTTATCCCCAGGTTTTAATAGACTGCTAATTTTCAATGACTTGGAATTACACTGTAGATAGTCACACTGTAGTCATTATACTGTACATTTCGGTCTATTCTGATTTAAGCCCGGGGATTTTTTAAAAGAGTCCGTGAAAGTCAAGAAAATTACGTGCATTCGAGATGTTTATCGAGATTTAGATTTTTACGTTTATGCACTAGCCAACCGGGGACAGGGTGGGGGCAGGAGGGGCTTGGGATCACATTTGACCAGCAATGATGCCCGAGGGGGTGGGGATAAAGTGAACATTTTACGAGAGTTTTAATATAGTCGGGGCATAGTGGGGCATAAGGTCGGGATTGGTCAAAAAAATTAGAAAAGGCCTGGAAACTCAATGCAACTTGGGCTTCCTGTGGCCCTATGAATGATTTTATTCACAATGGCATTTTGTTTCACTTAAATTTCACGGTTATATTCTAATAGTTTTCTCTCTGATTTGGTTTTTATCCCCAGGGGGTCGGAGATTTGATTTCCCATTCTCCCCCACGATGTGGGGTATTTACCAACATTTGCCTGTCCATTTTTCAAATGCCCCACATATCCCCACCCTGTCCCGGTTTTTTTTTTTTTTTTTTTTTTGGGGGGGGGGGGGGGGGGTTACTTTGACTAGTGCATTACGACGAACGCTGAAGAGAGAAGTGCTTTCATAGAAACAATGTTGACAATACTATGTCTCGGGATTTTGTAAAAAACAAAAAAAAAACGCGATTCCGGTATCAGGACCCTCCAGAATCAACAATCCAATTTCGAGTTCTGTTTTGCTGTGTACTAAGTAACATATTCTTTTGTTTTATTGATATCCCAAGAAAACTCATGGAATTTGAAAAGAAAGACAATAGAATTGATTGTGATTTGAAACCTTACATTTTATTCTCACAATTAGGAATATTTTGCTCACAAACGAGGATAAATTCGGGGATTATTGTTCTTCTACGCGACACTTCTCACAGCAAGTTTTTGACTGAGAGGAAAACCAACGTAAACTGGAGAAAAACCCGAGAGCAAGCGAGAACCAGCTTACTAACAATAGGTCTTTAGCGTGAATCGGCCGCATGGCAATAAATCCACAACACACTGGACAGTAAAATACCCACTAGGACATGGCGGACTCAGGGGAGACTGAAAAGGGGAAAACTTCCCCCCTCTTTTTCTCACTTTAGTTCGGTGCTCTAGATCTCTTATTGTATTGTTTAAATAATTTTCCTCTAATTTCTTCAATAATAAAAAAATTCAAATTAAAAAAAAAACGATCCTGAACACTGAAAAGTTCACGCTAGGAAAACTATTGTTAGTGTTTTTTGTAAGTGTTTTTACAATACGGTCATGTTACTGGAAACTTTCTGGACCCGCCCTTATAGGATGTTCAAAACAAAATAAAGTGAAGTTCTGCGTTCCTCTTGTTTTTTTCTTTCTCTGCCCCGATTTTATGCAGAACCACGGTTGTTTTAAAAAGAAAAAACAAATGGTTTTAAAGTTSATATTTTACTGTACAATAGCAATACAATAATTACATAATTACTACAGTATATTGGATCAATCTGATAATTATTAATAAATTTTACATGTAACTTCTACATTATACAGTACACGGTATAAGGAACCTTTCTTCCTCTTCTAAGAAAATGAACAAGTATAGAAGACGAAGAAAGGATAATTTTTTAAGGACATTAAATCTACTTCATGGTTCTGAGAGAATAAAGACTTGAAAAACGGAGGACTATTTTAATAAAAACAATTGTTTTAGTGACTAGCCCTCTTACCCTTACAGCACAGACATACATAGACTAAATTCACAATATTTATACACTTAATGTACCTGTATAAACTTATCTTCTTTTATAACATTATTCACAATTTACAAATTTACTATGTAATGATTTCAATATATGRCACATAAATAAAGAATTCACATTCTGATAAATTGAAATATTTCAATGAACTACAACTAATTTTCCACGAATAGATTTTCTTGATTGAAATATTGAAATTCATGCAATAACACATGCTAATAATTTCACAATAAAAAACGTGTWAAGTACATTTTACTTGAATTTGAAGCTGAAGTATAAACATGCAGCTGTTGCACAATGCAGCTATGCAAAMTTAYTACTTCAAGCTTAGTTAGAATTGGAAACAAATAACGACCATCGCATAGACTACAGTACACCTAAGAGAAATTTTCCTAGCGACTTTCTATCAACTGTGAAAGAATCATTATAAGGCCAATAATAATAATATGCAGTAGACTTGAACTAATTGTTCTCAATTGTGTTAGAGTGTGGAGTCATTAAACCCATGAAACAAAGTTTGACTATTACTTAAAAGTGTTTAAGTTAAAAACACAAAAGAAAACAATGCAATTAGAGAGTACCAAGGTGTACTAGTGTAAYATCTWTTTCATGGCTKTTTGACTTCACTCTATAAATTTAGTTTTTATTCTGAGTTTTATTGAAAGTACATTCACTATATCCATGGAACAGTTTCCAAACTAAACTAGGAAAATTTATGCAAAAGTCTTTGTCTTCTAATTAGTACCATTTTGTACAATATCTTAATAAAATGTTCCACAGATAATATAATGAATGCACTATAGTTTTGAACTTATGTTACACACCACTTGTGTTTGTATGGCTGAAGGACAATCTAATTTGCTACATGTCTGATATCTTAATTGGATTGTACTAAAATACTCTGCCATAGTATATAGTATCTTCAGGTAATGGGTCTTTTAATTGGATTTCATAGAAGCCCAATCTACAGTAAGACTCTATAGCGTCTCTATTATTTAAGCATACTTCACTGTATACTCCATTACAACCTTCTGCTTTGAGGGCTGACAGAACACACGTCATTAGTCGCTTCATTAAGAAATGGTCCTGTATTATTTAAGCAAATGAGAAAGAATAATTATTACACAAAATAATAAAATAGGAAGTATTTGGATGACCATATAATATATTTTCACAAGTTTGACATGAAACCTTTTTGTATCAAGGTAAAATRTACATAATATAGTGCTTAGTAACACACTGCACATGAACATGGTCATTCAGCCATAACAGGGCTAATATTTTGGATATAAACCACAATAAATAATAAACAGTTCCTTCRYATRAGATATTCTTACAAACCKWMMA